CCCTTTTAAAACTATATTGAGTACTTTGATCATAGAATCATAACTGAACCACCACTTATAGAAATTTGGATGTGGATTTATATTCATAGTTAAATACTCAGTTAGATGCGTAGCTAGCGCCATTTGTCTCTTAGATTGGTGTACATTAGTGCCTACAGCATCCATGATGGCACCCAGATACTTAAGTTGCCTGACTACTTGTATATTCATGTCTTGTAGACGGGCATAAGAGGTACGCTTGAGCATTTTGCCTGGGAATATTAGCATTACTATTGTTTGGGAGTCTGATTTGATTAGTTTGTGCTCATTTAACCAGTTAATGATTCTATCTAATACCTTTGCCGACAATAGAAAGATACTGAGATTTATGATATTGTCTGCCCCTGCGAGATGGAGTTCACAAAAACGAAGTTGACGGCTTTGAAATGACAAATTATCTTACCGAGATCTAGAGTCCGTAGTTCTGTCAGTGCATTACAGTAGCCATACTGCAAGTCATTTTAGTATTATGAAGACACACCATAAAATCTGTGAATATTTCTTCTAGGGCAAGACTAAAGCAGATGCAAAAACGGGGGTAAATCCTGTGATACACGTAGTGGGCGAAAAGAGCCGCATCACATGCACGAAAAGGATTACAGCGATGTGATGTAGAATTAGCGTTCGAAAGGATCGATCTGGATTTGTAAGCATAACAACTGCATTTTAGTTGTCGCAGCTTACTTTAACAGGTGGCCGAGATCTTATGCCATCCCTGTTAAAGTAGCGTCAACCGTTGCAGAAGTCTTAGTAGAAAAATAGTTTTCACGATTTAATAGGCCTCTTCTTATTCATTCTGATTAAGGATTAAAATTCATATCTGTCATATTTAAAGGAAAATGTAGAATTTTCGATAGGGAGAAGTCTCTCTCTCCTTCACATCCACAGTGAGATAGCATGACGGCGAAATTTAAATGAACAATATTGACTCATAATTCTCTGTTCGTATCCTGGATTGGAATCCTGGATTCTTATCCTGGAACCAGCAGGATTGAAATCAGAAAGTGTTCTTAATCCTGCTGGTGTATCAATATGTCATTGAAGACAGCACTGGGTGTACATCGCAAATGATTTTTGGCCGTAATCTTTGTCTGCTGTGTGACATGCTCTTCGCACTGCCGCCGGGCATGCCTTTTTCGCCTGAGCACTATCTAGAAGATCTGCAGATCGTTTAGAAGACATTCATCGCTTCGGCAGTGAATGCACTCAGCTCAACTTTCGGATGATGAAACTTTCGGGTGAGATGTGATACCAAGACGATGAAGAGCGAATTCAAAAAGGGAGATCTAGTCTGGTTGTGGAACCCTAAGCTTCATCGAGCTGCAAATATCAAAACTGGGATCAATTCATGTGATTAAGAAACTCGTGGTGCGTATTCAAGGAACTTCTTCTAAACCTAAAGTGCATAGCAATAGACTTACATCTTGTTTTGATAATGACGGTTAACTTCGCCAGTGTTGGATTATGTAAGGATAGTGTGATACAAATTTCTGTAAATGCTTAAATTCATTTGATTTTGACTTTTTGAAGGTATCCGACTCCTCAAGACAATGGCATCAACAGCATGTTCATTCGTCCAATAAGGCAAATAACTAAATGAATTACTAAAAAAAAGGAAAGAAATCTGAGGGGATTTAGATTTTAACGTCGCACCAAAGAGTTTGATATAGATTTTGTGCTCTTTTTGAACTCGCTCTTCATCTATCTGCTCTTGGATTCACTTCTGTTGACACAACATATTTTGACTGTTAACTTTAATATTAAACACCACCTTTTCACACTTATGCCTTATAAAATTCAGAAGCAAATCCCAAATTTTTTAAAAAAGCATACCTTTAAAATTCTCGAGTTTTAAACGTTGCCATATATATTTAGCCAAGAATAGCTGTTATTGTTCAACCTAAATTTTGTGCAAATCTCTTTTGTTGCCCGTTCCACTTTTCAAATAAATAGCTGCTGGCTCAGCCAGTCGCCTAATATAGTAACTATTAAAAAAGTATATAATACTTTTAATAATCCCATCTAATGTAACTTCGCTGGTCTAGCTGATAATTAATAAGAAAGATAAAGAACTGCATTTATTGCTCTTAAATAATTTCATTTGTTAATCGATAACAAGCAGATTAAATCTAAAGTAAAAATTTAATATCTGACATTTCGACAAATAGCAACAAACCGGAGAAGGGAAATTAAAAGTGTTTTTATATCAGATGTCTTTTTTTTTCCATCGGAGTAGAATGGTGCGACGTCCACGATTTAGTGCACACTGTTCCTGTCTACGTGCACACTATCCCTGTCGAATAAATAAAACTGCCGTTCCGAATTATGTCTGTTAAAAGAATGTTCGTTGCTAGAACTCCGTAAAATGTCCAAAAGAATATTCATAAAATGTTCCTTAGGCTAGGAGACGAAAATTCATAACTGAACAGTAAACATTCATAGAAGGCAAGCAAGACAAACTAATGTTACTATCCTTAAATAATATGCTCATTTAGAATTATCCTGCCTTTTTGCATTATTTAAATCATATGCATTGTAATCAAATGCATTAATGCATTTATTGTCAATTAAAAAAGATTTCCATAAATTTTCATTAAATTGTTTAGCCTAACTACTTCAGATTTGAACCGTGTTGAGCTATTCATGGATTTTGTTGCTCAACACTTATCGTGGAGTGTTGCAAATTTGATTCTCTAGTTGCTTCTCGGTGGCAGGACATAAATACGCCTAGACACGGCAAGTATATCATAACATAGGACGCAAAATGGTTTTGCAAACGAGTTGTTAGCATGTTGTTCAAGGCCATGTTGGAACTGTATAAGGCTGTTTCAAGCAAGCGGCTAGGCTAGGGGAAAGCGGCTAGCTTTACGCTTTCGAAATTTCTGAATAATAGGTGTAGTGTATGGTGTCCATCTGAAAGTATTAGCGAGGATCACCCCAAAAAAAGGAACTTGCTTATTCTACGCGAAAGTATTCCCATAAAAATGTAGATTCCAGTTTCTCTTTCTTCTCCTTTCGAACAGGTGACCTTCCAGGATTTATTTATATTTTGCCCTTGATTAGCCAAGCCGTAAGTGCGTTCATGTATGTGATTTTGTAAATGTTGCATGCTCTATCCCTAGAAATGTATCTTGTGCAAGAATCGCTGTATCATCGGCGTACATTGCTAGTGTGTTGTTTGGTGTCAGTGGAATGTGTTTCACATAAATGTTATATAACGTGCACCTGAGGAGAGAACCCCTTGCAATGAAGTCTTGAATAGCACGAAGTATAGAATGTGTATTAGAAATGCAAACTTGCAAAGTATCTACCAATTAGGTAGGATTTATTAATGCTTCTGATGTAACCAGGGAAACCGAAGCTGTGCATGTTGTACATAAGTGCGTCCAGCCAGACGCTACCAAAAGCTTTTGCTATATCTAGAAAGAGTCCTATAGTAGTGTTCTTATTCCGTATTTCATTTGAAATATACTCCCAAACTTTGCACCAGCGGTGTGAAGTAGAAAGCTCGCATCAGAAAGCAAACTGGTTAGGGAGAAGGATATTATTTTTGTTCATAAATGAATCAATTCTATCTAGTATTACAGCTTTAGAGATCTAACTTAAGGAAGCTGATAGACTAATTGGTCTCTAAGATTCTGGTGGAATTTTTAGCATAAGATTAACTCTGAAAAACAATGTTTATGATCTTGATTAGCATGAAAATCGACTTAAGTAGACGTTCTTTAAGGGCGGAAGTTTTTTAATCATCTCATTCTTGATTCTATTAATCCCAGGGATTTTTTGTCTCGAGGATTCTTAATACTGACAGTGAGACTGCAGTAATATTGTCTGTGACTGAGAATGTGGGGGTAGGAGAGGAAAACGGAAACTGAACGTTCTGCTGTTGCGTCAATGATATTGCTCGTGGAGAACTGAGACTCCATTTGCTGTGTTAAAAGTTCTGCTTTCTCAGTTTCGACTTAGTGGATCCTTTGGAGGTCTATAAGTGGTGGAATGGAGTTGTTGCATTTCTTATATCGAGACAGAGCTCTCCACGGAGAGTTGTGATCAGCTGAAAGAGAAACGATATAATTAGACCAGTCGAGTTTGGCTTGCTTATTTGTTTAGTTCGCTGATAGGTTTAGGTTAGGTTTAGGTTTTTAGTTCGCTGATATTTTCTTCCAGCTGCATTACGCTTTTTAATGAAGTCCATGAGGTCGAGTGGACATTTCGTTTACTCCCTGTTGATTTGCCAGCTGCATCCTTCTTATTTTTCGTCCTAGAGATAATATCATCTGCAAAAACTTTAATTAAACTTTAAATGTTATTAACCGAGTGTGTATCATTGGGATGATGTCTCTAGTGCTCTTTGGAGCTCTGGTGTATTTCAGCCTGTCAGTAATAAAGGCTGCTTTATCTGATGTGATATGGCAACTGATATCAAGGATAATCCTGACTGGATATATCGATATCTTTATAATTACTCAGAAAGCTTTAAGAATTATCAAACTTTTTTATATATATTTATCACATTATTTCTTAAAAAATAATACATGTCGATAACATTTGAAAAGTGAAACAGACAGAAAATTCAGGTTTGAGACTAATAGCACACCTGGTACCAATAATTTCGTAGACTTAATTTGGAATTCAAGCATTTGGAGTGACTTTGTAAGTTACTGGGAACAAAATCGCCTCTCTTTTATACGAAAAGATTTCTGATGCAAAGTTTAATTGCCTAGATCAGAATATTATAATTAACTGAAAGATTTAAGCTAGAGATTTCCTAAAAGGAAATTTTGGAAGTTTTAGAAACCTTTATGTAGCTTAATAACCATAATTTTAACAAAATTAAAAATAAAAAAGCCTTCTGTGATTATTGAAAATAATCTGGAACTAGATACCATTCAATACCCCTAATACTTTTATTTAATTCTGTACATTGTAAACGCTGCATTTAGATTTACTTTTATTTTCAGACTGTGGGCGTAATTTTCTAGAAACTACTCGTCGCATCCTCCACGGTACAAAGACAGTTGCAGGAGAATGGCCCTGGACGGTAGCTGTTGCGGCTGAAAGGAATGGTGCTCCTCTGTTAATTTGCGGGGGCGCTCTGTTAAATAGAAGAACAGTTCTAACAGCAGCCCACTGTTTGGATAGCTCAAGGCGATTCATTCTGTACTTCGGCAAATACTATCGCAGAAATAGTGAAGATGATCCTGAAGTTGTCAACAGAACGGTGAGTTAGTCCCCAATGAGTACGATATTAAAACCTTCCTCAGCAAATTCAAAGATGTAATACAAATATAACTTGAAACATTACTGACTACTGTTATACAAGGTCTTTATTTAGTATCATGAGTATCAAAATTTGCTTTCATACCTTGCATGTATAATGAATATTCTAAAAACTCTAAATCAAGCCAAGGAAATTTAAAGTGAGAAATTGTAAATGGCATGCTTAAAATATTTTTTGAGATTTTTTTTCACGTTTAGTTATAATATCGAGTTTTTCATTTGCATTTGTTCAGATCTTCAGAAGTTTAAAGTAACTTGAAGTGTGTTATTAGGTGAACTCTTTTGATTACAGCAGAATTCTTAATTCTCCATTTCATTTATTAATCTCGAATTCTTCTCCAAGATTCATGATTATAGGATAGCTAACTAATCTTGCTAACTGATTTGAAACGTAAAATTAATATCAGTTTAATCTTAATAGATAATGTTTACATAAAAATTTTCTATGGATTCTAGGAAGATTGGAACGGGTTCTTTTCTCCATCAGGCAAATCATTTCTTTTCGCCAGTAAAGAAGAAATTATGACAATCATAACGAGATCTTTCATTTGTGGTATTTCCTTTTCGTTGATCGTTTTTGCTGTTCTGGCTTAGATGTCCTGCCCAGCTTGAGAAAAGCGACAGAACAAATTAAAACTTGCAGAAGCAAATGAAGTTCGCAGTGTTGCATTTCCAAGTCCCCATCCCTAAGAAATGTCTGCATGGAACTATTTTAGTTCCTAATGATAATCAAAGAACGAATTATTCATTGAACTCTGGTATATTTGATCAAAGAGACGTGGCTTCTTAATGTGCTTTGCCCAAAGCATTCATTACGAAGGTATTTTCACATACTCATCTTTTCACGAAACCATACGGACATGGAAACAGGAAAATTTGATTCACCCATTTAAGCACACCGTTTCTTTTTACAGTGGTTCTGTAGATGCTGTTTTTTGATCCAAGTATTACCTTTGCCATTAGTAAAATTGATTCAATTGGTTGAGGACCAAAGATATTTTCACATACTCCCATTTTCACGAAGCCATACGTATTTGGAAACAGGAAGAACATGGTTCATCCAGTTACGGGCACCGTTTCTTTTTGTAGCGGTCCTGTAGATGCTGTTCTTTCATCCAGGCATTACCTTTGTCATTAGTAAAATTGATTGAATGGGTTGAGGACCAAGATAATATAGTTTAATCGCAAGCTTCATCGGCGTACAATGTGTAGAGCTATAAAAGATAACATGAGCAATACCCAAAGTGAACTGCGATGTAACTGAATGTAAGCTTTTACTTTTTTTTTACAATTACTAACCTTGAGTCAATGCTCTTTTTAGCAACATTTATAGAAGCTTGCATTTTCTATGAGGCATCAATTTTTTTTTGTAATAGACATATTTCCAGTGCACAGTCGCTGCTGTTACCTGTGATACAGAAAAGACATTGCCCGTTCTAGTGTAGTGAGTTTTACCTTTCTGAGTGCTAAATATATGCCTGCAGCTCCATGTATGCGTCAAATGATGATATCGAGCATGATTACTTAAGATTCATAATACTTTTATACTTAGGATTCATAATGATTACTGTTGCATCTATTAACGGGATGAATCAACCATCCAAAACTAGAAGCTGCCTGTTACTTGGCCCTAGTTTATTTCAAACACATCCAACACATTATAAAAATTAATTAAGACTTCAAAAAGATACTTATTTAAATGAAAAATAAAATACATCAAAATGCAAACAAACGATTATTAATTTAATTAACTAAGAAGACTGCAACTGCAAATTAACTAAGAAGGATTTTGATCAACTAACAGAAGTAGTGAGAACATAAACAAAGAGTTTCTTCTTTTTTTACCCCAGCTTTAATTAAACTGAAACTGTAGGACTGACTGCAAAGGGAGACATTATTCATATTAAACTCAATTCATCATATGCCATCATGTTTAATTAGAATACGTCAACTAATCTGCTATAACAAAGCAAGACTATTGTAAACGTTTCAGCAAAAATTTTATATCATTGAGGTTATCATTACTATATGACATACAAACATTATTTGTAATTATAATAACAGTTATTAAAATATTTTTATAATATTTTATGTTTTTTCCGCATATAATATTATATTTTAATGCTATAATTTATTTTTTAATGTAGCACTTAATATAATTTTCTAAGTTTTAACCATGTAAATTCATTTCAACTAAATAAAGCGAGAATCCTATTTTTAATCTGTGTAGAGTACCCAAGTAATCATTCATCCTAACTACGATAATGAGACTTATGACTCGGACATTGCAGTTATAAGATTTAATCCCAGCATTGCTTTTACGGACAGAATCCAGCCTATCTGCCTTCCTACACCGGAAAGTACAGCAGCTAATTTAGTTAGTGGAAAAAGAGGATTTGTAAGTATTTTTCATTACGTATTTTTTCAGATACTGTAGTATTAATACAGAGGCTGGTCGCACATTTTTTAGACTATTTTGGTAAGCTATAATAAAACATCGTTTGCTGGAAAAGAAGTAATTGCAATTGTACTATGTTTTAAAAAGTCAAAATTATCGTCTGTGGCTTGAAAGTTTTGTTTTAATTCAAAATGGCGAATTTGACAAAGCAGTGGTTCGAAGGCTACATTTATCCTCTTTCCGAAGAGAAATATGCATACTCCGTTATCCAAAAACGATGTGAGAGTCATGGTTTTTCTGATATCTCCGTCGATAGGTAATTAATATCATCAACAAGAAAGGAAAAAGCGTCAAATTGGAGCCTCAAGTGGGACAAAAATTCCAAACAAGTATCCAAGGAAAAAACGGACATCTTCGACTATTTTAAGGTACGTTTATTAAAGGTACGTTTTAATGTTAAAAGAAAATCCCCCTAGTCAAAGGACAGTTGCAAAATCATTAAAATGCTCGGTGTCCACTGTAAATAAAATGATAAACGTTGATTTAAATCTTAAGAAAGCGAAAACGCAATGTGCATCGTCTTCTTCCAAAGCATATCGCTCGACGCAGGACACGCTGCAGAATTCTGTATGAGAAACACTTATCCAAAGAAAAATGGAAAACAATTGTCACAATAGATGAAGCATGGGTGTATTTAAATGACTGTAAAAAAAAAAAAAAAAAAAAAAAAAAAAAAAAAAAAAAAAAAAAAAGGAGCCATTTATTATCATAAAAGGGGAGAAAAAAATTTAAGTACGTGGTTCAAAGAATCGAAAGAAAGGTTTTCTAAGGGATTCATGATTGTTGCTGGTTTTTCTTATAATGGCAAGTTAAAAATAAAGAGAGTGCAAAAAAATGTCAAGATTAACTCCAGATACTATCAGAAACATATTTTATCTCCAATTTTTCTGAATGAAATAACATCGCTTTACCCACTGTGAGACTCCATCAGGACAAAGCTAGCAGTCACACATCAAAATGCACTGTAAATTTCCGAAAAGAAATGGAACAAACAACTGGTATCAAGGCCATACCCTTCACTGATATCCCTACTTAATCTTCCGATGTGTCACCTATGGATTTTTGTGCTTTCGGACTTTTAAAAACTGCATTGTCCAAACGTTGTCCCCAAACCCTAACAGGACTCTAGAAAGCTGTTCGGGAGGAATGGGATAGAATACCTCTTCTGCCACTTCAAAAGGCATTATTATCCTGGAAATTGCGGTGTCGAAAGATAGTTCAGAATAAGGGATGTCAAATAGAACATTTAAAACACAAGAATTTTATGTAATTTAGTTTTGTGAATACAATATACATCGTCTAAAAAATTTGTGAACAGCCTCTGTATATATATATATATATATATAAAACGTGTGTTTAGCATGTAAATGTTATCCGATGAAATTCTTATAATTAGTATGCAAGATCTGATGAGATTATGTTGCATACAAAATGCAGTAAAATGTTACGTACAAGGCTGTTTAATGAATTCACATATAACATTTTAACTAATGAAACTAACAACTTATAACGATTTAAAGTAGACTTCAAATAATCATAATTTCAACGAGATTGGTGCAGCTTTTCACGTGGTCTTTGTTTCAATTAAGAAGGAGCAATTACGTGTCCAAAACAGAACGTTTCCCAATGGACATCGACGTACAAGATCTCCAGAATTAATATTATGAGTTTTTGTTCCGGGGAGGGTGTTGTTTTGTGATAATAAACTCCATTATTTTGCAATTAATAATACTGAAAATATCATTACCGATAAATGAAAATTTTGCTATTTTACTTATTTATTTGTTCACTTTTTACTTCCTTGTATTGTAATCGCGAAAAGTTTCAGGCAGCATATCCCAACGAAAATATCCATTTTGACCGCTGTCGAATGCAATTCAACGATTAAAAATTAAGACTCTATTTGAGTTGCGCGCGAATGTTTATATCAACTACTAATGGTACAATCAATCTAAATCATTATACAGGTGAAAGAGCACATTAGCAAACACACAAAATAGGACAAAGGATATACGCATAGTAACTCTTTAAAAATAGGGAAATTTTGGTGAAGTCAGAGCTCCGTGCGCATGCGCGACCGCGTGTGAGTGGCAATTTCGTCTGGTAGACAGTTGCGCGCAGACACTTGATGTGTTGTGGTATTTGCTGTATTTTATTTTATTTTGCCAAGCTAGTGGTATTGCGATTTATAGAAATTTGTCGAGTGTAGCAGATTCTGTACCAGCAGAATTCACTGTTAAGCAGCGTAAGAGAATTCAGGATCCAGAAGCAGGCGATATTTGTATGGTTGATGGATATTTGCATGATTGATGGATTTGTACGGTTGTTGTATGATTTGTATGGTTGATGGTTGATGGATAACTGTTAATGGACAGCCAAGATTTATCCTAGCATTCGTACATGTTTATCCAACTGTCAATTCATGAGATTTGAAAAAGTTCTTGTTTAGTGCATTGATGAAATATTCTATGACTACATTATTGATCAATGAAGAGTTTATTGTAGATGTAGATGTTCCTGTTATTATGATGAGAGATTTCAGTGTAGACGTCAAACAAACTGAAAAGGCATTTGATTTGATGAAACATCATTTTAATCTAAGTATGCTGCCAAGTAACTCTCTAAGTACACTTGGCAATTCATTTCTAGATTTAACATTGAGAGCAATAACTCTTTTTATTTACTATTAATTCCTTAAATTTCAAATTATCAAACTATCTTGTTTATATTTGATTCGTCTCACTGTTCAAAAAAATTAAACGTTGAAGCAAACGTCAAAAGATCTTTCTTGTTATATTTTGCTGCTTTGACATCAGACAGGAAAAGTAATCTTAAAAATAGAGTGTTCTGAAAGTAGTTTGCTGTAATTTGATTTTGTTAAAAATTAAGTAAGCTGCCATGTTTTTATTTTCAGGTGACAGGTTGGGGACTTACCGAAAAATTCCTTCCCTCTGATGAGCTTTTAATGGCTAATCTGCCCGTACTTTCCAATGATGCTTGTATGGACGCCTATGCAAATCAAAATCTTCCTGTACAGATCCGAAATGGCATGTTCTGCGCAGGATTCGAAGAAGGTCGTTCAAGTGTCTGTACAGGAGACAGTGGATCTCCAATGGTATTTTATGACGGAAGAAGCACAAGGTACATTATTGAAGGACTTGTGAGTTTCGGTGTAAGTGGACAATGCGGATTGCCTGGTAGATATACAGTATTCACAAGGGTTTCAGAGTTTTTACCCTGGATAATTAGACAGATGGCTTCTTAAAGAAAGCTATTACTAAGACTCAAACAAATTTCATATTCCTTGACACATGCGAGATATTATTTATGAGTAACTGTGTAAAATGGGCATTATTAATGTATAGAGCACAGATTATTCGTTCAAACTCATGCAGACATTTCTAATCATAAATAACATTTTAAATTATTATTACTATACTATATGCTATTTTAAAGATAACGATTAAATATACACTTAGTTGTATAGTATGTACTGTACGTAAGTCAATAACCATGTTAATCAAACAAGAAATCGAAGTTAATGATTAAAAAAATCATCTTCAGACTGATGTCATTTCGAGTGTGATGTATTATCTTAAACCAAATTATAAGTTAAAAAAAATCATTTATTTTTTCAGTCATACCTCTTCCGCAGCTTTAAATATTTCTTAACTATATTAACAGCTATAGCTTTTTTGATCAGAATTTGAATTGAACTCATTTTACAATTTAGTTTAATTCAAATTTAAGAATAGCACTTTTCGGCAGAGTTTATAAATTAATCATTTGATGTAATTTCAATAGTGCATGAAATATTTTTAACGTATAATTATAAATAATTTAATATGTAATTATGTATTTAAGTAACGGCTATGAATTTCTATTTCTTCTTTTTGTTACTACACAGAAAAGCCCCTTAAATTATTATTTGAAGAACAGTTTTTTAAATCTTTCTAGTCCTTTATTCGAATTTCGTATAAATACATATTTCAAAATATGTGATCATATTTATTTGAATATATAATTATTAATTATTAATGGTGTTATGATATGTGATTTTAATTATTTCACAATATGTGACCATACATATTTCATAATATGTGATCATATTTTTATAATATATAATTATTAAATTATTAATGGTTCATGATATGTGATTTTAATTATTTCACAATATGTGATCATACCTATTTCATAATATGTGATCATTATTTCATAATATGTCATCAATATAATCTATAATATGTGATCATAATTATCAGAATACTTAGTGCTTTTGTATATTATTTATTGGATAATGATTAAACCTGTTACTAGTTTTTAGTTACGTGTTTTGTTAAACATTCATACATAATTCATAGTAAACAATATCAATTGTCTCTCGATTACACTTTCGTAATACAATAAAAAATCCTCTAGTGCTGAATAACGAACTTTGTCATTCGAAGTAAACTTATGTGATAAAAAAGTACGTTACATAATTTAATATTGTCACTATAATTAATATGTATATTGATTTATAAATTAAAGAACTAGTACACTTTTTTCTTCCAAATACAGTTTACCTATTCGATATCTCTAACATGGTTACCTCAAACGCACGGATAGCAATGTTCTTGCTTAGCCCGAAACTTTTGCAGCAATAAATAATTATAATAATAAAAAAAAGTTGTTATTTTGAACTTTATTCTGGATGTGAAGAAATTCCAGTAGTAACTAAGCAACTTTTTGTCAGAAGAGGGGACAAGTAAACGAGTTTTCAATCAGTAGAATTCAGTAATATCTACAGCTTCGAAATCAATATAATGTTTTTAAACTTGGTCTAAACACCATTTTCAATCTCTTCACGTTTCATATGATTTTAATCTTTACAATGAAATATAAGCTGAGGTCACACAATATATTCTTTTATGAGTCTCTTTCTGCATCAAAATTTATGATAAATGTAAGTCTGGTTAAAATATCTGGTTAAATTGTAGAAAAACCTTTTATTATTCACAGTATTGTTATTATTTCTAAAAGAGAAAAGAAAACAGCTTAAATGTAGAGTTCTTGTCTCGAAATACAGTTTCTTTGGTTAGAGGAGACACTTGAGACATTCAGATGACTCTAATAATGATTAGAAGGAGAGATTCAAAGTCTAGAAACACATATGTTTTAGAAAAAATTTAAGAGCATCTGAACACATATTTGTAAGCAGTTATGAAGAATGGAAACCAAATTCTTGAAGATTACTAGCGGTTATAATGTATTTCCGTGCTTGTAAGGTTTATCTTAAGTTTTTAACAAGTTATTTTAAGTTAAAACTACTTTCCTGTTCATCCTAATTTCAGCTTACAATTTATTACCAGAACGTGTGTTTAGAAGTCGGTAACACATTTTCATAGCTAATCGTAATTAAGACGGGACATATTATGATAGTGTATTACTGAAAGTCACAGATCTAATTTTAGCAGTTTGATGGTGTGACTAACAAAAGTAAAATTTTCTTAAAGAAATATTAAAATATAAAAACACGCAAGAAAGAAAGCGGTGTTTTTCTTAACTTTAAACTCGCGTATCAAACGTAAAATTTTCAAATAGTTCAGAAAAAAGTTAGTTTATTAAATCGCATGTTCAAAACAACTTGTTTTTGTGATTTATGGAAACAATGTTTCACCTTATCTCGGACTTAGGAAAAGGAATGTGTAATCTTTTAGCCGAAATCATACATTCCGTAGACTTCTTGTTTTATATGAGAATGTGATTAGAGTAATTTAAAGTACATTTTAAATTTTTAATGCAATGACTTGTTGTATTTTACATAGAGTTTCTTTAAAAGTTGTCAGCGAAGTATCAATTAAAGGCTTGGAGAAAGATGGATATGAACGCCATTGCGGAGTCGTACTTCGTCTGAACTCATGTTCCCTCTGACCTGTTTGGAAAAACCTTGTGGCACAATAGAAACCAAGATTTTATTGATGATTTCTCTATTTTAGTGTATACTTTTATTAAAAAATGGAATTTTACAAAAATGGCTTAAGGAAGAAGAAAATTATGTCCAAAATTGACACTGCTTAGAAGATAATATCGAATTACATTTAAAAGCTTCTGCAAAAGCTTTTGAATTGGAGACAGCGACATTCAGCCTGAAAGAAAACAAAATATATTTTAGATTTTCTCTTATGAACAATTTATTTGCTTGCTTGTGTAAAAATTCCTTATGAGTACCATAATATGAATGAGAACTGATAAATTATCGGTTTGATTTATTGATTAAGATATTACCAGGAATTTATAAACAATCATTTCGCTTTATTCATTAATATAAATGAGTATTTTATTTTACTTCTTGCCGAATTTTTGTGATTAGTTTTAACATTCCAGGATTTTTGTTTCCTTCTTGATAGCTGAAGAATAGTGTTTGCAGAATTTCAGGGTATTAGACTTAGCCTGAATACATCCTAGCAGGGTAGGTATATATAATTATTCAAGCCATTACCAAAAATCAAATTTTAAATATTAATTGTTATAGTTTCAGAACCTCGCATACCTTCTTAATGACATTTTCAAACGTTTCATTGAACTGTATATCTGGTTTCTCTGGCAAATGAAAATACAATTAATTAAAAATATATAACAAGCTGAATAAAATGCACAATTTTAACAATTAATTAATTTTTTTTTTTTCAAGCATTTCAAAAGGAACTAAGAATTCTGCCATTCGTTAAGGAATAAAGTTCTGTTAAGAATTTGAGTCTCCTGATTTATTTAAACTCATGTTTAGATATACTGTTGACATTACCGCAATTAATAATTACAAGGAGATTGAAATTAAGCCAATGATAATAAATAATTATAAAACGACGGATAAAGATGCAGAAGTAGACTATTTATACGTTAAAGTTTATATCAAATCAGATAAAATGTGTGGACGAAAGGAGGCTTAAATTCTACAATTATTAAACTAATATAATGACATTCCAGCATTTCAAAAAATGAATAATGAAGACAATTATCAATCAAGCAATCAGAATTAAAAATATTTCCACTGATAATCTAAAAGATAAAAGTGCAGATAATTTCGTATTTCTTTTCAAAATTTAACTTAATACTAATTAACGGTAGATCTTTGGATTAAAATCTTTTTTTCCTTTATTTTTTTTTTTCAGTTATCTTACCTGTCTTCCACTGGAATGTAATGAGTTTTATTTAATGGACTTTCTTCTCCACACATAGTCTGCAAAAGAAAAGAAAATTATTTACAAATCGTAATTTATACGTGAATTAGGAAAAGATGCTTCACATTACATTTACATTTTTGGCTTATTTTTTAAAAAGCTTCCTTTGGGATGCAATCAATTGTAAATTAAATTCAGTATAAAATAAATACAGCCATATTTCTCTTTTTCATATCCTCGGCTCTAGGAATACAAATTTTATCACCGGCAATTTTTTTCCCTTGCAGGAACATATATATATTCTCATTTTGGATATGTGTTCCATGTTCAATAATATGAACGAAAGCATGATTGTTATCCATTTTTGGAAAGTGTACATGATATTGCAGTACAGTAGGAGTAAAAATATTTTTCTATTGCTCAATTCATCTAGCTAACGTAAGTTTAAAACCACAGAATTTTTGGAATGGAAAAGATATAAAATACCAGTGCAGGAAATGCAGTTAGTAATTAATACATTAACAGAATCTCGCGGGTAGTGAAGTATTTTAAGCATTATACGAAGCGGATGGCGCCATCTGGTTTTCAATGAAGTATTTAAAATACGTCTAGTTCTTGAAATGTGATATCTAATTTTTTTTTTTTTTTTTTTTAATACGTCAAGAATATTGTACAAACATTTTATCTTTGTAAATATTTTATCTAAGTACACTTTTTTACGACAAATTTCTGTAAAATCTACTTATTTATACCAAAGCACTATTTAAATATTTAAAAAAAAAAAAAATACTATACATTCTTTTCTGGCAGGAAAGGAAAAAATGCTTAAAAAAAGTATTACATATTTTATACTGATTCGTGTTTTTATTCAGCATTCTTTATTATTTTTGTATATATTAATATAAAAATAAATTTAGTATTCGCCTTATTTTCAAGTACTTCAGAAGTTATAAGGGAACCAACATATAAATAAATAAATAAAGATAATATTATGCGAAGGTCTAGTTAAAAGAACGGAAACTGCTGTGTAAGTACTAAATACAAGTCCGTTACTGTTTGCAAAATGTACTATTTGAAACTCCATGAAAAGCATATTGAGTTCGTTGTAACTAAATAGCATCTGTAATGTACAGGGTGTTTATAAAGTCCCGGACCCATTTTGATGTTTAATAACTCATAAAATAATAAAAATAGATTAAAATTAATAACATAAATGGTTAGATAGACTCAAAAAGTTTCATGACTCTTGTCAATGAACTTCCACGTGTGCCTCCTTCGTCACACGGAGAATATCAAATCGATATTCAATTTCACGCCAGGTACCGGCAAGCATGTGTTGCGGTGTATGCATTCTCCTTAATATCCGGTCTAATAAAACATCACATACAAAAATACTAGAACAAACACATCAAAAGTAAACATAACATTGCAATAGTTGTCAAAAAACAAAAGAGAGAAAACTGCAATTACTAAGCAGACGATATTTAGAAAAGTACAGATGTTTAGACTGGAAAATGAGATCATCTGAAATCAACCACACGCGCAGACGATATTTACAAAAGTAAAGATATTCAAACTTCAAAAGGAAAATATATAAGTAATTCTATCAATAAATGCCATACGTTTGTTTATATCTTCATTATTTTATGTGTTATTAAACACCAAAATGGGTCCGGGACTTTATAAACACCCTGTATTTCACACTCTATTTAGTTACTAGTTCTATGTGAGTAGCTCCCGCTTGGTGAAGATAAGAAATAGTGGGAGATTGGCTTTCGGCGGCAGATAAACTTTGGTAGAGCAAATTATATGTTTAGCAACTCAGTTTCTATTAATATAGTTTCCTTTTATATAAAACGTATATGAGTTACTTAGTATGTTGTAAATATACGAAAAAGTTTATCTGGGTGTCATGAACTGTGTACGAGACATGACACCAGTCATATGTAAGTAGAAGAAGGTGATAGCTGGTTAAAATCTGAGAAATGGGACAGGAATGCGACACATTCTTTGCTGGCCAAAAAATAATAATAATAATAATAATAATAATAATAATAATAATAACTGGTTCTGGTAACTATTATCAGAAAAACCGAATATTGAAACAAAAAGTGCTCACTATGTACCCTCAAATATTAAAACCAGATAGTTTGCCTAAAACTAATAAAGTTTAAAAAGATTCTTATATTTATGGATCTTTCCAAGATACAACTAAAGCTTATCAGAAGGAGTTTTAAAGCGAAAATCAAACTAAAACTAATTTATTTCTCCTTTATAGAGGTGCGGTAAAATTAAATTAAATTTTAGCCTACTTGATTTGCCGGTTATTCTGTACCATTGATCTTATGTTCAAACTTGTGCACAAAGTACTGTTGAAAGTACTTTGTAAAGAAAGTACTGTTGTAAAGTTTAAACAAGCAATTATTTTTGGTCTAGAAGTAAATTAATTCATTTTTCATTAATTTTTGTGGAGAAAAATCGCTTCGATTCGCTATGATTTCGTATGACCAATGCCATCGTATTCGAAATTTCCCAGTATTTTATTCTCGTCTGCAGAGAGCAAGAACTAAAATATGTGGACGATAATTCATCACCACGTAGATTTGGTCGACTGGTTCTCATGCTTTCTCAGTCATTCTTTAAATGTGAAAAAAAAAATGTAACTTACACATAAATTTTGCACTTTTTAATTAAACAGAAAATTTACAACTATTTACGAATTTTCATATATATCAATTACTTCATCATTTTATACCTATAATTTCATCCACATTTCTGCATCTATCTTCAGTTTTAGCTACTTTGTAAGTCAATTAAGAAAGAGATGAACAGTTTTTACCTTACACTGATTATTATTAGTTAATTATATTTTACTTTCCTAAGCCTAATAGTTCGACTGCAATCTGTGGACTCTTCCTTCTCACTCAAGAATTTAAATTTATAAGTTCACTTAATGAATGAAGAACACAAATATTACCAGCACATCTTGCGATATATTGATGACGTTATTGCCTTTAACAACTTCAATAAACTTGAAAATGCAAATATTTATTCCAGTTGCCTTAGGCTTAATAATACCAACGCAATACAAGATGATATCGTTTACCTATATCTTTAAATTCTAAATTACAATCTTATTAGAATTTTTGACAAACGCAAAGATTTCAATTTTCTTACACTCAAACGCAATAAATGGAATTCTAACATTTCTAAAAGGGTTATTATTGATACTGTTAATTCACAACTTCTTAAAATTAAAGGAATCTGTAATAACACAGATCTTCTCCGAGAGGAAATACTTTACTTCATTAAAATCTTTCAAAGCAATCTTATTCCAGAAATAATCATTAAAAATTCCTTAAAAAAAGCTGGCATTTGCCTTTTATTTTAGATTATTTGGTTTGGAGATATGAAATTTTTTACCCAAATCTGATAGGAAGGTAGATGATGGATTGCTAAATCAAGTGATCTAATGTAAAAATGTAACATAGTTTCTTTATACTGCATCAACATTTTTTTCTATCTCTTGAATTGGCACAGAAATTCAGTTAGTTTATTAAATTTATTATTTAATATCACTATTTTCCGGCCAACCCTATCCTTTCATTAATTTTAAGGCCAATTTCATTTCGAACTCGCTTGTTAGTCCTCTAGCGTGAAGAATTACGACTTTATACTAACAAATTGCTGATTTTTTTCCAACTTCTACATGCTTTTGGCCAGATTAGCACTTTCTTTGATTGCCGCCATTTTGTTATAGCGTTCACTTTTTAAAACGACTTAGTCTTGAACAAGACGCCATTCTGTAAGAGTTGCATCCTTCTTCAACCATCCTTACCCCTCCCTTTTGGCTCCTTACCCCCCACAGACCGTTTAATACCATTGGCTACAGCAATAAAACGTTTGTTTTCCCCTTCTACGTCATCTCACCCAATTGGTGAAATTTGACTGCTTTGCAATTCTGGAAACGTTTGTTAGGACTTCATCTACTTTTTTCGCGATATTTGCTCACTTTAATCTGAAAAAGCAATCGCAGAGGACGCATGTATGTCAGTATTTTTTCCTTCTAGTTTTCTTTACCTTTGGTTTTAGCAAGACCCATTTGTGTCGTATTTTTATTTCTTTTTAACAAAGTTTTTATTCTTCGATTTAATAGGGCTTACCCTTAAAATAATGTAAGTTTTGACTAATAGCTTTTTAGCTGTTTATTTTAATTGTACATCTGCCAACTCAGGCTACCATGTATTGGTTTTTCTTTCGTCCGTTTTAAGTTAATTTTTTTTTCAAAAAGATTTTTTGTTTTCTATTTTTGGTTATTTAAGCTCAATTTTAATTTAAATCGCAAGCACGTCGAGAAAAGAGACGAAGCTATTGAGATATTACTGAAATAAGATTTTTTTTAATTAAATAACTTTATTAATGAATTACCTCTTTCAGTCTCAATTGTTTCGTTTGACGAAACGTGCTCATGGTATTGGCTAAATTGGAGTTTTCTCATGCTTTTCCCTTGATAAGTCTGTGTGAAACCTCGAATTGGGCTAACTGACCATTTATTCCAATTCCTTGTATATATAATTTCTTTGTCTTTAAAATGTTTTTGATTGTTTGCGAACAATATTGATGTTTTTTAGGTTGTTTAAAAAAATTTTTTTAGTCTTTTCTAATTTCCAATTTTGTTTTTATAGATTATATTGTTTAGTAGTTATTACAGGAGGTTTTCGCGTAAACTTTAACTGCTTTAGTATTGTATTATTGTTTTTACATGATATTGTTTTTACTTGTGTATTCCGGAACTGAAGTATCAAATGTACTTTAAAGCAAAACTTTTACTTTCCTCTTCTGTGCTAATTACTTTCCTAAACTATATAAGGTTCAAATTGCATACGCAGAAACGTGATTGAGAATAGTAGTTGACGCACTGTCATGCATTGCGTCTCTTCTTAAGAGAATATAACGTTTAATTTCTACTATTAATCAATAAATTAACCTATTTTTCTCTTTTACAAATCTAAATTCATCAAATTACGTCCTTTACTTCATATTCTGATGGTTATTTTAC